TCATACCCCTATCCTTCCAAGTATTCACTATCTTTTTTTTAAATTGCATTTTAGGTTTTGGGGTATATGTGAAGAACATGCAAGATGGTTGCATAGGTACATGAGGCCAACAAACATATGAAAAAATGCTCATAATCACTGGTCATCAGAGAAATGCAAATCAAAACCACATTGAGATACCATCTCACGCCAGTTAGAATGGCGATCATTAAAAAATCTGGTGACAACAGATGCTGGAGAGGATGTGGACAAATAGGAACACTTTTACACTGCTGATGGGAGTGGAAATTTGTTCAGCCATTGTGGAAGACAGTGTGGCAATTCCTCAAGGACCTAGAAATAGAAATTCCATTTGACCCAGCAATCCCATTACTGGGTATATATCCAAAGGATTATAAATCATTCTACTATAAGGACACATGCACACAAATGTTCACTGCAGCACAGTTTACAATAGCAAAGACCTGGAACCAACCCAAATGCCCATTGATGATAGACTGGAGAGGGAAAATGTGGCACATATCACCGTGGAGTATTATGCAGCCATCAAAAACGATGAGTTTGTTTTCTTCGTTGGGACATGGATGAATCTGGAAACCATCATTCTCAGCAAACTGACACAAGAACAGAAAATCAAACACCGCGTGTTCTCACTCATGGGTGATGAACAATGAGAACACATGGACACAGGGAGGGGAGCACTACACACTGGGGTCTGTTGGGGGAAAATAGGGGAGGGACAGTGGGGGGTGGGGAGCTGGGGGAGAGATAGCACAGGGAGAAATGCCAGATATAAGTGAAGGGGAGGAAGGCAGCAAATCAAATTGCTACATGTGTACCTATTGCATTTCTCTCATATCTATTGAAAGACACATAATAATGTACACTGGAGAGGGATTTTATAAATAAGAAGGCTCTTTGGATTAAAACCCTAGTAGTTTGTAAAATAGAGAAAAGTCTTCTATTTTAACAATTACTTCAAATGTCATGTGAAAATTCCCACTGGAAAGTACTCCTATAAATCTAAGTAATTTGGAAAGCCTGATGCTTGAAAGAAATGCACATAAGTGAAGTGTTATATCTGTAGCTCATTCTTTTTTTAAAATAAAGATGGGTTCTCACCCTGTCACCCAAGGCTGGAGTGCAGTGACATGATAATTGCTCACTGCAGCCTCAAACCGCTGGGCTCAAGGGATTCTCTCACCTTTACCTCCTGAAGTTCTGGGAGTGGAGTAGTGAACAAAGACACACTAATTTATTAGTTTATATTCACCATATTGCAAGATATTGCAGTTTACATGTTCCCAGTTAGAATTCCCAATCACATTATCTAGTTTGAAATAAACTAACCCTCACAAAATGAATGTAAGAGATTACTGCAAAGAATATCGAAGGTATTACTAAGAAAAGCTCAACTGAACAACAAATTGACAGCATTCTTTGTCTGGCACTTTATTAGTATAAATACAAAATAGAACAAATCTAAAAACCATGATGATTCAGTCATACTTGCTAAAATGTTGGCCTAAAAAATCAAAATTAGCAAGAAGACCAACCAAAATGCCCATCAATGATAGAATGGCTAAAGAAAATGTGGTACATATACACCATGGCATACTGCATGGTCATAAAAAGGAATGAGATCATTCCTTTGCAAATCCTGGGGGAGGAGATCCAAGATGCCTGATCGCTAACAGCTCAGGATTGTAGCTCCCAGTGAAAGCACAGAGAACGAGAGGATGCCACACTTTCAGAGGAATTTTTGTTGCTCGTGGACCAGAATATTCCCAGTGGAGGAGACCCATGGGTTGCCAGCGCGACTCTTGTGGCTGGCGCAGCGGTTTTGCTGGCACCTCAGTGCGGCAGCTCTTCATGCAGAGTAAACGGGACTGGTTCCCCTACTGACCGATGTTTGGAGCTCCCAGAAGACAGAGCCACTTGTTACGGACTCAAGAAGGAAGCCAGACCAGAGATTCTCTGGCAGAAGAGCACCATCAGTCTTATCGCTGCTATTTTGACTGGCGCAGTGGGTTGCTCAGATTCCAGCACTGGGAATCAATAAATTGGATGTCCACTCAGAAACCTAATTAGAAAGGTGGTAATTGTAAAGATGACAGATGGATAAATTTATAAAAAAGGGAAGAAACCAGCCTAAAAAGGCCGAGAATACCCAAAATCAGAATCCCTCTCCCTCTACAGGGGATTGCAGTTCCTCATCAGCAATGGAACAAGCCCTGATGGAAAAGGACTGTGTTCCATTATCTGAAGTAGGCTTCAGAAGGTAGATGATAAGAAACTTCTGGGAGTTAAAAGAACTTGTTCTAACCCAATGTAAAGAAACTAAGAACTTTGAAAAAAGGTTTGATGAAATGCTAAAAAGAATAGACAATATAGAGAGGAATATAAATGAACTAACAGAGTTGAAAAATACAACACAAGAACTTAGTGAAATATGCACAAGTTTGAATAGCCAAATTGATCAAGCAGAAGAAAGGATATCAAAGGTCGAAGACCAACTTAATGAAATAAAAAGAGAAGACAAGAATAGAGAGAAAAGGATAAAAAGGAATGAGCAAAGTCTCCAAGAAATATGGGACTATGTGAAAAGACCTAATCTACGTTTGATAGGTGTACCTGAATATGACGAAGAGAATGAATCCAAGCTGGAAAATACTCTTCAGGATATTATTCAGGAAAACTTTCCAAATCTAGCAAAGCAGGACAATATTCAACCCCGGGTAATACAGAGAACACCACAAATATATTCCTCAAGAAGAGCAACCCCAAGGCACATAATTGTTAGATTCACCAGGGTTGAAACGAAGGAGAAAATACTAAGGGCAGCGAGAGAGAAAGGTCAGGTTACCCACAAAGGGAAGCCTATTAGACTTACCACAGATCTCTCGGCAGAAACCCTACAAGCCAGAAGAGAGTGGCGGCCAATATTCAACATCCTTAAAGAATAGAACTTTCAGCCCAGAATTTCATATCCTGCCAAACTAAGCTTCACAATTGAAGGAAAAATAAAATCTTTTATGAACAAGCAAGTACTCAGAGATTTTATTACCACCAGGCCTGCTTTACAAGAACTTCTGAAAGAACTATTACACATAGAAAGGAACAACCAGTATTAGCCTTTCTAAAAATATACCCAAAGTAAAGAGCATCAACATAAAGAAGAATTTACATCAACAAATGGATAAAATAGCCAGTTAACATCAAATGGCAGTAACCCTAAATTTAAATAGACTAAACAACCCAATCAAAAGATACAGCCAAAACCTAATGGTATGCTACATCCAGACCCATTTTATATCCAAAGATACACAAAGACTCAAAACAAAGGGTTGGAGAAAAATTTACCAACCAAATGGAGAGCAAAAATAGATTAATAAATAAATAAAAAGCAGGAGTTGCAATTCTCGCATTTGATAAAATAGATTTCAAAGCAACAAAGATATAGTGATAAAAGGATCAGTGCAACAATAAGACCTAATGATCCTAACACCCAGATGCATAAGACCCATAAAGAGATTTAGACTCAACGAGACAGAAAATTAATCAGGATATCCAGGATTTGAACTCAGATCTGGAACAAGTAAACTTAATAAATATTTATACAGCTCTCCACTTTAAATACACAAAATATATATTCTTCACTTTAAATACACAAAATATTGATTGGCCATTTTAATAGCCATTTATAGAATAAAGCAATATTCCTGTTCTCTCTCCCTCTTTTTTTTCCTCTCCTTCTCTCCTTTTTTTTCTTTCAAAAAAAAAAAAAGAGAATTGCCATTGGATTGCTGAAACTGTTTTGCCTAAATAAGCAGACATACTGAAGTACCCTTGAGATTTATGCACCCCTGAAGTAGGCCTGTTTTAATAACTGACTCACACAGAAGTAGGAAGCCCAGCACCATTCCCTTGAAGAGGACAGTCTCTAAGGTATAACTTAAAATCCAGAGTTCCCCTCAGGAAACAGGCTAAACTTAGCCTCCTTAAGACTTTGTAAAAAAAAGAAAAAAAGAGATGCAAATCCTTGGGGCCCCACCCTGGACCTACTCAGTCAGAAACGTTGCTTGGGTTGGGGGGGTGTGGCCCAGTAAACCCGAGTTAGCAAACCCTCCGTGCCACAAAGTTTGAGACTTACTGGTCTATACCAATTAACAAAACTGCTGCCTAAATCCACTGCTAACACCTAGACTTGAGAAAGGAAAGCGAAGCCATAATGATGGTCTCAACAGTCTCCAGTGTGTTTGCTTTCCTCCTGTGCTCTCAGCTGTCTCCCAAGGTGCCCGCATAATCACAGCCACCACTTGAGTGCCACTGGACACAGAGGGACACCGGCAGAGCAGGGGCCAATACTCCAGGGAGGTGCAAAAAAAAAAGAAAAAAAAAAAGGAATGAGATCATGTCCTTTGCAGGGAGATGGATGAAGCTGGAAGCCATCATCCTCAGCAAACTGACACAGGAACAGATAACCAAACACCACATATTCTGACTCACAAGTGGGAGTCGAATAATGAGAACTTATGAACACAGGGAGGGGAACAACGCACACCAGGGCCTGTTTGGCGCAGGGTGGGGGGGTGAGGAGAGAGAACTTAAAAGATGGTTCAATAAGTTCAACAAACCACAATGGCCTATGTAACAAACCACATATACCTATGTAACAAACCTGCACATTCTGCACATGTATCCTGGAACTTAAAGTAAAATTTTAAAAAAAATTAGCAAAAAGACTTTGATACATACATTTACATTTGCATAGTAAATTAAACTTTGCCCTAAATATGTTTTGATTTAAGACATAAGCTAATTATGACACTGCATGTATCACACTGCATGTATATAATTTATAAATACACATAGTTCTGAGGGGATGTGTTCAAAATGAACAAAGCATGGCAGGGTATGTTATCTACAAAGTTTGGAGACTTATCTTTTCATTTCTTTTTATTTTTTTCTTTTCTTTTCTTTCTTTTTTCTTGAGACAGGATCTTGCTTTGTTACCAAGGCTGGAGTACAGTGGCATCAACTCAGCTCACTGCAGCTTTCATTTCCCAGGCTCAAGAGATCCTCCCACCTCAGCTTTTAGGGTAGGTAAGACTACAGGGGTAAACCACCTTGTCTGGCTGAATTCTTTTTCTTTTTGTGGGGCAAGGTCTCATTACATTGTTCAGGCTAGTCTTGAACTCCTGACATTAACTGATCCTCCCACCTTGGCCTTCCAAAGCTGTGGGATTACAGTCATGAGCCACTGTGCCTGGCCTGCAGACTTGTCTAAATATAACCTTTTATAGTATTGGCAATACATATTTATATGTCTTTTTTCTATATTAGATGGTAATTTTCTTGAGGGGAGAGGAACCATGTCTTATGTTTGTACCTAAAGTATGTAGCTCTTGATTTTGCAGTAGGAGGTGCTCAATGAATATCTGCTAAAGGGAAAAACAAGTTCACGGCCAGCATTAAAAGCAAGCAAGGAATAAGACAGCCTGATATCTATTACCAAATGAACAATTTTTGGTTATGTGATCTTAAAATTGCACTTTTATTTCCCTCATGTAGAAAATGGGGTGAATGATTCCTATTCTGATTATCCAAATGGTTTCTTATCAAACTCACATGAAAAAATAAATATGACAGTGGGAAGATGGCGCTGTAGGACCAACTCTGGATTGCAGCTCCCAGTGAAACTGCAGATGGTGAGTGCATGCCTCATTTCCAGATGGATATTTATTGCCCACAGACCAGGAGATTCCCAGGTGTAGGAGCTGCATGGGCTGCCAATGAGGCTGTTTGGGCCGGCACGACTGTTTGGGCCAGGGCTGCAGTGCAGTGTCACTCCGTACAAAATTCACTGATTTGGTTGCTCTGTTAAACTGGCAATTGGAGATTTCGGAAGGCAGATTAGCACCTTCATCTGATTAAACAGGACTTAAACAGAAAGCCAGGCCAGGAGATTCCCAGGCAGCAATGTGGTTCCAGCCAGCGCAGTGGGTCGCTGCACAGGAAATCACACAAATCCCAGCGCCCTTTCAGCAGGCGACCGGAACACCTGGGAGAGAGTCAACCATTCAACTTAAAAAAAAGGGCTCTGAGGCAGGGAGCCAGGTGATCAGGCTTGGTGGGTCCAACCCCCACAAAACAGACAAAACAGGAATTGGAAATGCTCGGGGTTGAGAGTTTCATGGCAAGCACAGCTGAACCCAGGGTGGTGCAGCTCGGAGGGGGAGGGGCATCTGCCATTACCGAGGCACTCGATCCCTATGGAGGTACACTGCCATTGCTGACGCAGCCTGCCATTGTGAAGGCAACCTGCCGTTGCCAAGGCAACCCGCCATAACAGAGAGAGTCCGCCACTACAGAGGCGGGCCATCATCACTACGGCAGCTCTAACCACACCAGCTCTAACCACACCCATATAAACAGGACTACAGGCAATTACACATAGCAGCAGGCTGGAGCCCACAGCAGCAGGGCTGAGCCCATGGCAAAAGGGTGGAGCCCACGGCAACAGGGCAGAGCCCACAGCAGCTCAGCATAACCACTACAGGCAGGCAGTGATTAGACTGCCTCCTTGCTGGGCAGGACAGTGCAACGGATAATCGTAAATACAGCCCTAACTCCCCGGGACAGAGCACCTGAGGAAAAAAGAGGGGCTTTATGAGTTCTGCTGCAACAGACTTAAATGTACCTGCCGAGCAGCGCTGAATGAACAATGGAGCTCACAGCTCAGCACTTGAGCTCCTATAAAGTACAGACTGTCTCCTCAAGTATAAAGTACAGTCTCCTCAAGCAGCTCCCTGACCCTCTCATATCCAAAGAGTCACCTCACAAAGGACTGATCACACTGACATTTGGCGGGCATCATTCTGGGACAAAGATAGCAGAAGAAGAAATGGGTAGTAACCCTCATGGTTCCGCAGCTGCTACAGGTGTACCCCAAGCAAGCAGGGCCTGGAGTGGACCTCAGTAGTCCTACAGCAGAGGGGAAAGACTGTTAGAAGAAAAACTAAGAAACAGAAATACTTCATCATCAACAATCTGGACATCCACTCAGAGACCCAATCAGAAAATCAAAAACTACTCAGATGACAGGTGGATAAATCCACAAAGATGGGAAGAAACCAGTGCAAAAAGGAGGAAAACACCCAAAACCAGAACACCTCGCCTCCTACAAGGGACCACAACTCCTCAACAGCAAGGAAACATAGCTGGACAGAAAAAGAGTGTGATGAAATGACAAAATCAGACTTCAGAAGGTGGGTAATGAGAAACTTCCATGAGCGAAAAGAACGTGTTCTAACTCAATGCAAAGAAAGTAAAAACCTTGAAAAAAGATGTGAGGAAATGATAAAAAGAATGGACAACTTAGAGAGGAATATGAATGAATTGAAGGAGCTGAAAAACACAACATGAGAAATTCGCGAAGCATGCACAAGTTTAACGGCCAAATTGACCAAGCAGAAGAAAGGATATCAGACGTCGAAGATCAACTCAATGAAATAAAACGAGAAGCCAAGATTAGAGAAAAAAGTGCAAAAAGGAATGAACAAAGTCTCCAAGAAATGTGGGAATATGTGAAGGGACCTAATCTACATTTGATAGGTGTACCTGAATGTGACGAAGAGAATGAATCCAAGCTGGAAAACACTCTTCAGGATATTATCCAGGAAAATTTCCCCAACCTAGCAAGGCAGGCCAATATTCAAGTCCAGGAAATACAGAGAACACCGCAAAGATATTCTGCAACAAGAGCAACCTCAAGGCACATAATCGTCAGATTCACCAGGGTTGAAAAGAAGGAGAAAATGCTAAGGGCAGCCAGAGAGAAAGGTCAGGTCACCCACAAAGGGAAGCCCATCAGAGTCACAGCAGATCTCTTGGCAGAAACCCTACAAGCCAGAAGAGAGTGGGGGCCAATATTCAACATCCTTAAAGAAAAGAACTTTCAACCCAGAATTTCATATCCAGCCAAACTGAGCGTCACAAGTGAAGGAAAAATACAATCCTTTGGGAACAAGCAAGTACTCAGAGATTTTGTCACCACCAGGCCTGCTTTACAAGAGCTCCTGAAAGAGGCACTACACATAGAAAGGAACAACCAGTACCAGTGATTCCAAAAACATACCAAATGCTAAAGAGCATCAACAAAATGAAGAATCTTCATCAACTAATGGGCAAAACAGTCAGCTAGCATCAAATTGACAGTATCAAATTCACACATAACAATATTAACCCTAAATGTAAACGGGCTAAATGCACCAATGAAAAGACACAGACTGGCAAATTGGATTAAAAAGCCAAAACCCATTGGTGTGCTGTATCCGGGAAACCCATCTCACAGAAAGGATACACAAAGGCTCAAAATGAAGGGATGGAGGATGATTTACCAAGCAAATGGAGAGCAAAAAAAAAGCAGGAGTTGCAATTCTCATCTCTGATAAAATAGACTTTAAAGCAACAAAGATCAAAAGAGACAAAGAAGGACATTACATAATGGTAAAAGGATTGATACAACAAGAAGAGCTAACAATCCTAAACATATATGGACCCAATACAGGAGCACACAGATACATAAGGCAAGTTCTTAACGACTTACAAAGAGACTTAGACTCCCACACAATAATAATGGGAGACTTTATCACTCCACTGTCAATATTAGACAGATCATCCAGGCCGAAAATTAACAAGGATATCCAGGACTTGACCTCAGACCTGGAACAAGCAAACCTGATAGACATTTAGAGAACTCTCCACCCCAAATCCACAGAATATACATTCTTGTCAGCACCACATCACACCTACTCTAAAATGGACCACATAATTGGAAGTAAATCACTCCTCAGCAAATGCAAAACAACTGAAATCATAACAAACAGTCTCTCAGACCATAGTGCAATCAAGTTAGAACTCAGAATTCAGAAACTAACTCAGAACTGCACAGCTTCATGGAAACTGAACAACTTGCTCTTGAATGTTGACTGGATAAACAATGAAATGAAGGTAGAAATAAAGAAGTTCTTCAAAACCAGTGAGAACAAAGATACAACATACCAGAATCTCAGGGACACATTTAAAGCAGTCTCTAGAGGAAAATATATAGCAATAAGTACCCACATGAGAAGAATGGAGAGATACAAAATTGACACCCTAACATCAAAATTGAAAGAGCTGGAGGAGCAAGGTCAAAAAAACTCAAAACCTAGCAGAAGACAAGAAATAACCAAGATCAGAGCAGAACTGAAGGAGATAGAGACACGAAAAACCCTTCAAAAAAATCAATAAATCCAAGAGCTGGTTTTTTGAAAAGATCAACAAAATAGACAGACCATTAGCCAGACTGATAAAAAAGAAAAGAGAGAACAACCAAATAGATGAAATAAAAAACGATAAAGGGGAAATCACCACAGATTCCACAGAAATTCAAACCATCATCAGAAAATGTTACAAACAACTCTATGCACATAAACTAGTAAACCTGGAAGAAATGGATAAATTCCTGGACACCTGTGTCCTCCCAAGCCTAAACCAGGAGGAAGCCGAAACTATGAATAGACCAATAACAAGGTCTGAAGTTGAGGTAGCAATTAAGAGCCTACCACACAAAAAAAAGCCCAGGTCCAGATGGGTTCACAGCCGAATTCTACCAGATACACAAAGAGGAACTGTTACCATTCCTTCTGAAACTATTCCAAATAATCCAAAAAGAGGGAATCCTCCCCACATCATTTTATGAGACCAACAGCATCCTGATACCAAAACCCGGCAGAGACCCAACAAGAAAAGAAAACTTCAGGCCAATATCCATGATGAACATAAACCCAAAAATCTTCAATAAAATACTGGCAAGCTGGCTGCAACAGCACATCAAAAAGCTTATCCATCCTGATCAAGTAGATTTCATCCCAGGGATGCAAGGCTGGTTCAACATACATAAGTCTATAAACATAATTCCCCACATAAACAGAACCAAAAACAAAAACCACATGATTATCTCAATTGAAGCAGAGAAGGCCTTTGACAAAATTCAACACCCTTTATGCTAAAAACCCTCAATAAACTCGGTATTGATGGAACGTATCTCAAAATAATAAAAGCTATTTACGACAAACCAACAGCCAATATCATACTGAATGGGCAAAAACTGGAAGCATTCCCCTTGAAATCTGGCACTAGACAAGGATGCCCTCTCTCACCACTTCTATTCAATGTAGTACTGGAAGTTCTAGCGAGAGCAATCAGGCAAGTAAAAGAAATAAAGGGTATTCAAATAGGAAAAGAGGAAGCCAAATTGTCTCTATTTGCAGACGACATAGAAGACCCCATCGTCTCAACCCAAAAACTCCTGAAACTGATAAGCAACTTCAGCAAAGTCTCAGGATATAAAATCAATGTGCAAAAATCACAAGCATTCCTACACACCAATAACAGACTTGAAGAGAGCCAAATCAAGAATTAACTGCCATTCACAATTGCTACAAAAAGAATAAAATACCTAGAAATACAAATAACAAGGAACGTAAAGGACCTCTTCAAGGGGAACTACAAACCACTGCTCAATGAGATAAGAGAGGACACAAACAGAAGGAGGAACATTCCATGTGCATGGTTAGGAAGAATCCATATCGTGAAAATGGCCATACTGCCCAAGGTAATTTACAGACTCAATGCTATCCCCATCAAGCTACCATTGACTTTCTTCACAGAACTGGAAAAAACCACCTTGAACTTCATATGGAACCAAAAGAGAGCCTGCATAGGCAAGTCAATTCTAAGCAAAAAGAACACAGTGGGAGGCATCACACTACTGGACTTCAAACTATACTGCAAGGCTACAGTAATCAAACAGCATGGTACTGGTACCAAAACAGAGATATAGACCAATGGAACAGAATGGAGGCATCGGAGGCAACACAACATATTTACAACCATCTGATATTTGACAGACCTGACAAAAACAAGCAATGGGGAAAGGATTCCCTGTTTAATAAATGGTGTTGGGAAAAACTGGCTAGCCATGTGCAGAAAGCAGAAACTGGACCCCTTCCTGACACCTTACACTAAAAGTAACTCCAGATGGATTAAAGACTTAAACATAAGACCTGGCACCATAAAAACCCTAGAAGAAAATCTAGGCAAAACCATTCAAGACATAGGAGTAGGCAACGACTTCATGACCAAAACACCAAAAGCATTGGCAACAAAAGCCAAAATAGACAAATGGGACCTAATCAAACTCCACAGCTTCTGCACAGCAAAAGAAACAGTCACTAGAGTGAATTGGCAACCAACAGAATGGGAAAAAAATTTTGCAATTTGCCCATCTGACAAAGGGCTGATATCCGGAATTTACAAAGAACTCAAACATATTTACAGGAAAAAAACAAACAAGCTCATTCAAAAATGGGCAAAGGATATGAACAGACACTTTACAAAAGAAGACATACATGAGGCCAACAAACATATGAAAAAATGCTCATCATCACTGGTCATTAGAGAGATGCAAATCAAAACCACATTGAGATACCATCTCACGCCAGTTAGAATGGCCGTCATTAAAAAATCTGGAGACAACAGATGCTGGAGAGGATGTGGACAAATAGGAACACTTTTACACTGCTGGTGGGAGTGTAGATTAGTTCACCCATTGTGGAAGACAGTGTGGCGATTCCTCAAAGACCTAGAATAGAAATTCCATTGACCCAGCAATCCCATTGCTGGGTATATATCCAAAGGACTATAAATTGTTCTACTATAAGGACATATGCACACGAATGTTCATTGCGGCACTGTTTACAATAACAAAGACCTGGAACCAACCCAAATGCCCATCGATGATAGACTGGACTGGAAAAATGTGGCACATATACACCATGGAATATTATGCAGCCATCAAAAACTATGAGTTCGTGTCCTTTGTAGGTAGGGACATGGATGAATTTGGAGAACATCATTGTCAGCAAACTGACACAAGAACAGACAACGAAATACTGCATATTCTCACTCATAGGTGGGTGATGAACAATGAGAACACATGGTCACAGGGAGGGAAGCACTACACACTGGGGTCAATTGAGAGGAATAGGGGAGGGACAGTGGGGAGGGGCACTGGAGAGGAATAGCATGGGGAGAAATGCCAGATGTGGGTGAAGGGGAGGAAGACAGCAAATCACACTGCCACGTTTGTACCTATGCAACTATCTTGCATGTTCTGCACATGAACCCCAAAACCTAAAATGCAATTAAGCAAAAAAATAAATAAATAAATATAAATTTTAAGGCCATGTGTAGTTCTGACATGTTAACATTATTTTTCAAATACCAACTACTTTGAAAGCTTAGTAACATGAAAAACTAAGAGAGGAAAATGACAGAGGGGGGGATAATGTTAGATATGTCCTGACATAAAGATAAATGTCTTTTTACATGTTAGTTTTTGGAATGCTGACGCTTTCCTCCAATTGTTCAAATAAATAAAGTGTTTTAATGAGCAAACTGCAAATGTTACAGGATTTTTTGAAAGGAAGCCAGAGGTAGATGTAGATGTTTCCAGATGCCTTTTATAGTCCAAGTGGTGTCAGCATTCTCTTTGTTCTTGTTTCAGTCAATTCTACTTAAAAAGAACTCATGTAGGGATAAGAAATGAAAATGGAAACCAATGGTGCAGCTACCGTCTCTTGTTTGAGAACTTATTTTCTGAGAATCGGAAGACTTACAGTTGCAGGAGTGTCCAATACTTCGTTTCTATTTTGTTATGGAAAGTAAGTGAACATCTTTTTTTTTTTTTTTCATTTTCAGGAAATGTGCTATGCAGTTTAATAAAACCAGGGAGATGTGATATCTTGGAATTAAGAAGATTGATATTAGAATCTAACATTTTAAATATATAGGGATCTCAGGAGCAGGAATAAAAGGAATGAGGTTTATGTGTAATCAGGCTGACCTATCCTACCTAAGTAAAGTTAAGATTCATGAGAGACCCAGGTGAGACATTTTCTGATAATTCTGACATCACCTCTCACTTCTTTTCTTGAACATTTTTGTACTCTCTCTTCAGCCCCCCCACAAACCAAATGCTGTCCTAACACTTTAGAAACAAGCCTATTTTGTTCTCATTTTCCTTCTACTTTGTTCCTTCTACCCCACCGCTTTTACTTCTTGCATGTGTGTCCCTGTCCAAGTGTTTATAAATAGCACATATGTGCATGTGTTTATGGATGGATATAGCTATATAAATGATGATGAAGTTTAATGTGTAAGCACTGAATTAATGTTAAAAAATAATGAATGAAAGCAGCATCCAATAATACTTTGTAATTGAATGAATTATACTTACTATTTCTATTTTTAGCTTAATGATCAGACTGACATTGCTGCCTTCACTAGTTTATCAAAATATTGTATGAGATAGTGTCAATCTAGTATACTACATATTCTCCATAGGGATTGTTCAATTCATTCATTCATATAGAACATATTTGTTGAGCAATTAATGTATGTCTAGCATTGATTGAAGTACTTGGGATTCAACCAGTGGACAAAATAGAGAAAAATTTCTGCTACCTAGAGCTTAGAGTCTAGGAGAAGATAAGTAGGCAATGAATGATAAGCAAACAATAAATAAATATTTTATATTAGGAAAATATATGTGCTTCAGAAAACATAGATATAGTAGGTGCCTGTTATAATGGCTATTATCAAAAAGACAAAAGATATCTATTGTTGGAGAGTATGTGGAGAAAAGGGAACACTTGCACACTGTTGGTGGGAATGGAAATTAGTACAGGCATTAAGGAAAACAGTATGAAGCTTCTGGCAAATGCTAAATATAAAACTACTATATGACCTAACATTCCCAGTACTGGGTATATATCCAAGAAAAATGAAATCAATATATCAAAGAGATAGCTGTACTTCCATGTTTATTGCACCATTATTCACAATAGCCAAGTTATGGAATCAAACTAAGGGTCCATAAATTGATGAATGGATTAATGGAATACTATTTAGCCTTTGAAAAGAAGGAAATCCAGTCGTTTGCAACAACATGGATGATTGCAGAAAACATTATGTTAAGTGAAATAAGCCAGACACAGAAAGACATAGACTTCATGATCTCCCTTATATGTGGAATCTAAAAGCACCAAACTCATAGAAGCAGAGAATAGAATGCTGGCTATCAGGAGCTGGGAAGGAGGCTTAAGGGAGATGTTACAAAATCTCAGAGAGGAGAAAAGATAAAGTTATATTGTACAACATGATCACTAAATTACAGGCATACCATGGTGTTACTGTGGGTTCAGTTTCAGACAACTGCAATAAAGCAAATATAATAAAATGAATCACAGGAATTTTTTTGATTTCAGCATGTGAGTTATTTTTACACTGTAGTCTGCAGTGTGCAATAGCATTATATATTAAGCTGCACATTCCTTAATTAAAAATGCTTTATTGCTAAACAAATACTAGTGATCATCTGAGGCTTCAGCAAAGCAAGCTGAAATCTTTTTGCTGGTGGATGGCCTTACGTAGATATTGATGGTTTCTTAACTCATCAGGGTGGTGGTTACTGAAGGTTGGAGTGGCTATGGCAGCTTCTTAAAATAAGACAATAATGAAGTTTGTCAAGTCAATTGGCACTTCCTTTGCTACATTTCTCTGTAGCATGTGATGCTGTTTGATAGCATTTTACCCAAAGTAGAACTGTTTTGAAAATTGGAGTCAATCCTCTCAAACCCTATCACTGCTTTAGCAAATAAATTTATGTAATATTTCAAATTGTTTGTTGTCATTTCAAAAGCGTTCACAGCATCTTCACCAGCAGTAGATTCCATCTCAAGAAACCACTTTCTTTGCTCATTCATAAAAATCACCTCCTCATCTGTTCAAATTTTATCATGAGATTGCAGCAAGGCAGTTACATCTTTAGATTCCACTTCTTATTCTAGTTCTCTTGGTGTTTCCACCACATCCACAGTTACTTTCTCCACTGATGTCTTGAACCCCTCAAAGTCATCCATGGCAATTGGAATCAACTTCTTCAAACTTGTGTTAATGTTCATATTTTGACTTCTCACAAATTGCAAATATTCTTAACAGCATCTAGAATAGTGACTTCTTTCTAGAGGTTTTCAATTTACCCAGATCCATCTGAGAAAATGCTATCTATGACAGCTATAGCCTTATGAAATATATTTCTTGAAAGTTAATATTACTCCTTGATCCATGGACCGCAGAATGGATGTTGTGTTAGTAGGCATGAAAATGACATTAATCTTGCACATCTCCAACACAGTTCTTGGGTGACTGCATATATTTTAAATGCAGTAATATTTTGAGAGGAATCATTTTTTTTTGGCTAAGCAGTAGGTCTCAGTAGTGGGCTGAAGATATTCAGTACACCATGCTGTAGACAGATGTGCCGTCATCCAGGCTTTGTTGTTATATTTCTAGGACACAGCAAGAGTAGATTTAATTCTTAAGAGTGTTAGGATTCTTAAAGGAGCTTTAATTCTTAAGTAGCATAATTCTTAAGAGCTTTAGGATTTTCCACATGGGTATATGAACAGTGGCTTCAACTTAGATTCAGCAGCTGCATTAATTTCTAACAAGAGATTCAGCCTGTTCTTTGAAGCTTTGAAGCCAGGTACTGACTTCTCTCTATCTATGAGTCCTAGATGTCATTTTCTTCCAATAGAAGGCTGTTTGTCTACATAAAATCTGTTATTTAGTGTAACCAACTTCATCAATTATCTCAGCTTGATTTTTCTGTGTAATTTGCTGCAGCTTCCACATCAGCTCTTGGTGCTTCAACTTAGACTTACGTTATAGAGATTATTTCTTTCCTTCAACCTCACAAACTAACCTCTGTCAACTTCCAACTTTTCTTTTTCAGTTTTTTCACCGCTCAGACCTTATAGAATTGAAGAGAGTTAAGAGCCTTGCTTTGCATTAAGCTTTAGCTTAAAAGAATGTTGTGAATGGTTTTGCTATTCTATTCAGACCACTAAAACTTTCTTCCTATCAGCAATAAGGGCTGTTTCTCTTTCTTATCACTGGTGTGTTCACTAGAATAGTACTTTAATTTACTTCAAGAACTTTTCTTTGACACTCACAACCTGGCTGTTGTAAGTCTAGAGGCCTAGCTTTCACCCCACCTTGACATTCCATAGGCTTTTCTCACTGAGCTTAATCATTTTAAGCTTTTGATTTAAAGTGAATGACATATGACTCTTCCTTTCACTTGAACAGTTAGAGGCCATTATGGGGATTATTAATAATCATTAATTTCAATATTGCTCTGTCTCAGGGAATAAACAGACCCAAGGTGAGGGAGAGAAACAGGAGAAGAGTTGCTCTGTCTCAGGGAATAAACAGACCCAAGGTGAGGGAGAGAAACAGGAGAACAGTTGGTTGGTGGAGTAGTCAGAACATACACATTTATCCATTAGGTTTGCCATCTTAATCACACACTGGGGGAAGTTGGGGAGGGTAGGGGAGAGACACCGGCAGGTGGGGAGGGTGGGGAGGGATAACATGGGGAGAAATGCCAGATATAGTAAACATCTAAAGTAAAATAAAAAAGTAACATCCGTATGTAGCAGAATAATTATGCAGGTGTATTAAGTACACGTAACAGTGATGCTTCTCAAAATAAAACTTTAAGAAGTTACCAGAGTTTTCTACTGACATCAACATTTCAAAACAGTGTGTCCTGTGTCATTTGTGAATTTGCTTATTCTTCATTTGAACGTGTTGCTCCAGTTTAAAGTAAAGGGCATAAAGGATAAGAACAATATGATTAGGAAAGTAGAAAGAATAGATAAAACCTAAAAGACAACAGAGGCATTTTGCTCAAGTATTCATACAAGGCTCAGAAAAATTGATCTCATGTTTAAAGAAACTCCTCAATATATCCCATAGAGACATAAATGTTCTACTCAATGTAGTGTAATATATTCCCTGCTGATCTTTGTAAATAGATTATCGTTCTTTTTCATACCTGTGTATGATTTCAAATGGGAGGTGCTGGAATTCAGTCACTAGCAGAGTAATACAATATTCACTTATATTGTTCTTTTTTTTCTTACACATATAATAGGATATGTAGTCTTTTTGTATACTAAGTTGTGCTCACTTTTGAAAATACTGTATCTCTTTTAAATGTTGAAGATGTTTTGGTTTGGGGTATTGCATATGTAAGGCATGTCTGGGCCATAATATTTAATCAAATTTGGTAAACCAGACAAGTGATCATCATTCTATATTACTCAGAGGTGAACTTAAAAGTAATAAATCAGTTTGTTAGAAAGGGGCATCAACCTGAATAAAAAAAGAAAAAGTTTACCATCTTATATGGCTGTGGCTCATGTCACTCCAAAACAATTACAATAGTAATATCATAGATTGCTGATCACAGATCATCATAACAGATAAAATAATAATGAAAAAATTTTAAATATGGTAAGAATTATCAAAGTGTGACACAGAGACACAAAGTGAACACATGTTTTTGGGAAAATGGGGCCAATAGATTTACTTGATGCAGGGTTGCTATAAACCATTGAGTTGTAAAAAATGCAATATCTGCAAAGTGCAATAAAGGGAAGTGCAGTAAAATGAGATATGTACTGTATTCTTAAAAATTGCTGAGGGTAGATTTTATGTGTTTTCACCGTAAAAATTGCTATGTCTGGAAGATAAGGCATATGTTAATTAGGTCAATCTAGCCATTCCACAATGTGGATATATTTGAAAGCAGCATGATATACATGATGAGTATATATATTTTTTAATTTTTCAATTAAAAAGTTAAATTATAGACTGGCTGTAGTGGCTCATCCCTGTAATCACAGCATTTTGGGAGGGTGAAGCAAGAGGATTGCTTGAAGTCAGGAGTTTGAGACTAGCCTGTACCACATAGTGAGACCCTGTCTCCACAAAAATAAAAAATTGGCCCAGTGTGGTGGTGTACAGTTATAGTCCCAGGTATTCAGGAGACTGAGGTGGGAGAATCACTTGTACCCAGCAGTTAGAGTTTGCAGTGAGCTATGATTGTGCCACTGCTCTCTAGCCTGGGTAACAGAGCAAGAACCTGTCTCAACAAACAAAACAACAACAAAATGACAAAAAGAAAGAAATGTAGGTATGCTGTTGTGGGTGGAGGGGTTGGTGCATGTTACAGATGTGAATTCGATGGCCATGATGTAGGTTTTATCGAAGAGACATTTGAGAACCAAAAGGAGTAAGTCAGGTCCTGAACCAGAATGATCTTTTAGGGCACCTCAAATCACACTACAAAGTGTACACCTATTCTGCTTATATTTAGAGCTTGTCCAGTTTGTAACCCATGTCAGCATTAAATTGAGAAAGCACCATTCCCTTCTCTTGCTGAGAGTCTGATTCAGCAACTGCAGACAGAAGCCTTAGAGAGACATTAGTTCTCATGTTATTGAGAAATAAATGAGAAGACAGCTTTTGTATTGGCAAAACCTTCATAAATTCCAAAAGTTCAGATTTCAAATATATAATACATGAAAATTAAACCATAAAAAGGCACCTTGAGATGTGCTATATAACTCTCCAAGGAATATAACTTTACAAGCTAAAATGGCCTGGAAATGAGGATGAGTATCCAGTGCTCAGCCAAAATATTTCTCTGGTGACATAAAATTTGAGGAAGCAGGAACTGTAGCACCACTAAAGTTTTCTGGCTTCCTCCCAGGAGTCTAAACATTTATTTCCTGAGAAATACCACTTGAATCATTTCTTGGCCTCTGGACAGGATATCACAAAGCTAAAACTACATTGTCCTTATTTTCGTTTGTGAACTGGAGCCAGGACTTCTTAATTTTTTTACTTGTATTTTTTACACTGTGTTAATACAGCTATATTTTGGCAAATCTGAGCGGTATTGCTTAATATTATTCCGGGAGAGAAAACCTTAGAGAAAGACCAGATTCTCTAGACCCCATCAAAATTCCGAATACCAAGTTTAGAGTGCAAAACATTCTAAGAAAAACTCAAATTCAGGCAGATCCCACCAAAGCCCTGAAGTATGGCATTTATCTAAAGAAGCAGAAGACCGATCACTGGCTATAAGAGACATCCTCTGAGGAGAGTGTTGAAGAAACTGTATTTATTGACCCAGGAGAAGAGATGCATGAGAGATAATTTAATAATTGTCTTAAAAATGTAGCCATGACTCAGGTACAGAAATAGTCAATAAACATTCTGTTTGTTCTTAGATAATTAAATAGACTTAAGATGGGCCATGGGAAATTTTGGTTAGACTTACGGAGTCTAACCTGACTGTGAAACACTGAAAATGGTTTCTGTGGAAAGTTGTGGAATCTTTCCTCCAGAGAGGTTTTTAAATAGGAGAGAGTCTAACTGTCTATGATGGTTTGAGTGCAGCAGTAAGAGCTAGGGATCCCAAGGTTTCTTCTGTAGGGCTAGATTTGATACTCCAGCTCTTTTGGAATCATGTTGCCCTTACATAGTGCTGGGGTGCACTAGCATCATTTGCATTTAAACAAGTGGTCAAGTGACATATTTGGAAAACAAATGCTCTGTAACAAAATTGTCATGTTTAGTTGTCTCCTCTCATTTCCAAACAGGATTTTAATGACAGCTTGTATAATATGCTCAGTTTAATTCTTTGCTGTCTCAGTAATTATTATGTCATCAGTGATGATTAGTATTAATATTACTCATTCTTTTTTGAAAGGAGGGAAAATAGTGTGAGCTATGCCATTCCACACAAGTCCTGTTATGTTAAGCATTTTGGAAAATAAAACAGTGTTTATTTGAATAATTTTCTTCCCTCAAACTTGATCAGGAGATCACCAGATTAAAAGTGTTTTTTCTATGAGTTTGTTTGTTTTTAATCCATATTACTTTATTTACATAGAATTTGTAGAGATAATTCACGAGAAGTGGCTGAATCTCACATACATTTGGAAAGGTAAGTTTTAGTTTTCATAAAATTTATAACAAAATTGTATAAGATAAATATATTTGTAATAAAGTCAAATATATTTTAATGTATTTTTGAAGAATACAGATCCTTCTCAACTTATAATGTGATTATTTCCCTATAAATTTATTGTAAGTTGAAAATATCATAAGTTCAAAATGCATTTAATATGCTTAACCTACCAAACATCATAGCTCAGCCTTGCCTATCTTAAACATGCCTAGAATATTTACATTTCCTATAGATGGGCAAAATCATCACAAAGCCTATTGTATTAGAAAGTGTTGAATAGTTCGTGTAATTTATTGAATACTGTACTGAAAATGAAAAACAGAATGATTATATGGGTGCTTGAAGTAGTTTCTACTGAGTGCATATCATACACCTTCATAAAGTTGGAAAATCTTAAGTCAAACCATTGTAAGTCAGAAATCATCTGTAATTAGAACTGGATATGATTTTATGGTTCATCCATTGAGAAAACTGAAATCCTGAGAAAATAAAGAGTGTATCCAAGGTACCAGCGGTAGTTTTATGGTACTCTGACTCACAGCCTAGAGCTCTTTACAACACACATCATTACATCTTGCTCTATTTTGGTGGCTATTTGTCTGGTGAGGTAGCATGAGTTTGTGCATGTCTATTAGGGCTTAGAATCTGCTGGTCCATAGAAATGTGAGGGATGATTCAGAAGAAAAGTCCCTTAAAGAAGAGGGACCCGGAAAGAGTACCACGGCAAAAGGAGACTCATAAAGAAGATATTTTCCATGACCTTAGAGACAAACTTTTCATGTTGAAACTCTTCTAGAATAAAAGGAGAGGAAGATTAGAAAGTAATATTGGTGAATCATTCATGAAAATACAAGTAGTTGATATCATGGGAATTTGCCTCATATTAAGTACCATAGATGATAGTTAAGAAATTAAATGTGGCATATATTAACCAAAACAAAATCCCGCCAAACCTTATTAAAAAGAATGTTTACAACTATTAAGTTGTTTTCTAAAATGCCCATAGTAAGCAACATTTATGTAGCTTGGAATTAGAGAGCCTTTCTGTGTCACCAAGTATTTGGGCAACATAGCAAACAAAAATTGTCAAGCAGTATGGCAGTTTAAAAGCCTCATGGTAATGTGAAAGGACAATATCACTGATACAGTAAATGAAGGAAAAAGCACATAACCCAAATCTACACACCATTAACTACTTTGTCTTGACATCTCAAGTTCTGTCTTTGCAAACAACTGTAGGCTGTTCTCCTTCCCTTCTAACTCCTTCTCTCTTCCTTCTCTCTGTCATATTTTTCTTCCCTCTAACCCATCTTCTCTAGCCCTGCAAGAATTTAAAAATGAATAAAAATACATTTTCTATCCTCAAGAATCTCATAGTCCAATACTGGAGACAGGTAAGCAATTATGAGGCCGTCTACTGAATAGTGGGAAGCATTTTTCCATACGGGTCAGCGGAAACCCAGGCTATTGGTTTCAAAGAGGTGATGATGTCTGAGGTTTGAATGCTAAATAGGAAGATCTCATTATCTTCTCCTTGGATTATTGAGAGTACTCCCTAATGGACTTCTTGCCAACATGCTTGCCTTCTACATTTTCCGGCAGCTTCCAGTCCAAAGGCAATGAAGCATATTCAGGGAATATTTGGAAAAAGGCAAAATGTTTGGTATGATGTTATGAAGGCATGAGGAATCTAAGTAAAAAAGATGAGCAGAGGCCGGGCACGGTGGCTCAAGCCTGTAATCCCAGCACTTTGGGAGGCCGAGGTGGGTGGGTCACGAGGTCAAGACATGGAGACCATCCTGGTCAACTTGGTGAAACCCCGTCTCTACTAAAAATACAAAAAATTAGCTGCGCATGGTGGCGCACGCCTGTTATCCCAGCTACTCGGGCGGCTGAGGCAGGAGAATTGCCTGAACCCAGGAGGCGGAGGTTGAGGTGAGCCGAGATCGCGCCACTGCACTCCAGCCTGGGTAACGAGCGAAAACTCCGTCTCAAAAAAAAAAAAAGATGAGCAGAGGCTAAATCATAAGATGGCTTGTATACCAGGAACCTTGTCTTGTAGAAATAGAAGAGCAGTTGAATGTGCTGGTAAGTGGAAGATTTACCCAGTCCAGTTTGCATTTTGATCTCGTGACATCTAAGCAAAGATTAGAGTGAATTAGAAGAGGGTAAGCATGATGGCAGGAAATGTAGTTAAGAGTCATCATAAAAAGATAATGAAATCTTCAGCTAGGGCAGTGGTGGTGGGAGTAGAGAGCAGTAGACAGACTCCAGAGATATGTAGCTGTTAATATTGACAGGATTTGGTGTTGCATTGGTTGTGGTAGGTGACAGAAGAGAGAGAACAAGGATTGTCTTATCTGGCTTGAACAAGTAGATAGTGGTGCCATTCACCGAAATATGGGACACACAAGGAGGAATACTTCTGAGTGAGGAAGGAAGATGATAAGTTCAAGTTTGGATGTGTTGAATTTGACTTGCCTAGGAGATATCAAGGTGAAATTTTCTACTAAGCAATTTGATATAATGGTCTGCAGCTCAGGAAGGCAGCATATGCTCTACCTTCTTTGCCTTTTCTGAATGCTTTTAGAATCCATCCTTGACAACTTAGCCCTTGATTCAATACTGGCCTGTCCCAGTCCTTTAGTTTTCCTTATTTCCTTGTACTTTTCAGAGGCAGACATTATACATCCATCTATACTTTCTGAAATGCCTAATTCACTTGTAGGCATGAGTGAGGACTTTGTAAAGGCTTCTGAATATTTGCATTTGCCACCTCACCACTGAGGTCATTCAGAAAAAAGTGACATCTTAATACTTGTTAAAGGGTGCAAAGGACATTTAAATCTTTATAAATACCTTAACAAATGTCACAAATCAGATTCACGTGTGTGACCAATTTTACTTAAAAGATTTGTAGGATATTTTCCATTACCCTGTTCCCCTCATTTAGATTTTCAAACTTTTAGAAAAAAGTAGAAATGACACTGCTTTTCTACATTAGCTATCACTAAATTCTTCATACTATCCTCTGGGTTCTTGGGATTCTGCAACTCAGATATATGAAATTGATAAACTAGGAAAGTGATCTTGTCATTGTTATCTAATATTTTGAGACTTACAATTATCTGTGGATCTTGTATCCCAAGATACTGCCTGCTTTATTTTCTCCAAAGGAAGGACCTTTTATATATCAACAGTGGACCTTGAAAAACTTCTGTTAAGCACTTACTCAAAATAGTTCTTTAAAAGATTCAAGAGGTTTAAGCACAGTTGCCAAGTTTGGCAATGAGGTCTTTTGTGGTTTAGCAATTCTTGCTTTCCCATCTTCCTCTGTTTTGATATTTTGTCATTATGTTTACCTTTTCTTTTCTTAGAATTATTATTTCATTTATTCATACATCAATGTATCCATACATTTATTGTTTACACATTACTAACACTTTCCATTCCTAGTCTCTGTGCCTTGCAAAATACTCAAGAAAAGAATGTCATGTTGTGCAAGTGTGCAAAGGTAAAAGACTAATACATACCTGCTTCTTCCCCACATAGCCCTCTTGAGTACTTTATGTGAATATCAATGGATTTTTTAGAGAATATAATTCCTGCCTTGGGAGCCAGACCCAATGGAGTGATACCAGTACTGGGACTTGTAATCCTAGTACATGGCAAGGGGTAAATCCTGGCAAGTTATAGAAGGTAGAGCTTTACTTTACTCACCCCCCTGCCCACTCTTCTAATCAAAACTTTCCATCACCTAATTCACATATATGCTTACTATGTGCCAGTCACATAGTAGGTGCTTTACACATATTAATTCATTTAATTCTCACTACAATCCTATGGATTAAGTTACTATTTCTATTTATAGGATGAGAAAACTGAGGCATAGAGAACTTTAGTACATTTTCCAAGGTCACACAGTCAGTAAATGATGGAACTGAGATTCAAATCCAGGCAGACGGGCTTCAGATTTATGTTCTTGGCCAATATACTCTAATATGAAACTGGTTTGATTAATTTAGTGGATAAATCTGTATTACTGTCAGCTACTCTGTGTCTTCTAAATGTGGGCTACATCTATTTGCTAGAGAGCAGCTCAGAACCAAGGAAAATCGTATACATCTTTGCTCTCAACACTTAAATGTAGCACCCAAAGATTAATGGGGAATCTCCCAAAAAGATCTACTGAAACTAGCACCAAGAGAAAATTGGTGTAGCAATTTGGTGACACAGGAAAGAAGAAAGATTTCTTTTTTTATAAAGGTGTATTTTGAGTCCTGAGAGTATAAAACTTTAAACAGCTCTCTCTTCAGGAACATATTTTTATTTTATTTTATTTTGATTTTTTCTATCATTGTTTTTTAGACATGAAGTCTTGCTATGTTGCCCAGGCTGTCCTGACACTCTTGGGCTCAACTGGTACTCCTGCCTCAGCCTCCTGAGTAGCTGGGACTGCAGGTGTGTGCCACCATGCCCAGCCTCTTCAGGAAAATCTTCAGTTACTGTTCCATAGTTGTTACATTAGTGCAAAATTTTAAAATTAGTCTTCAAATTTGAATTGAAAAGGAAGAGAATGAGTTATTTACAAGTAGGAAAATGTCATATTTTGATGTGGTAATGTAACGAGCCAGGCAAGGAAGTGTTCTAGAAAAGTGTAAGAACTTTTAAAGAATGAGTCTTATAAATTGAATAAAAGACTATGTAGCTTTTAAAAGCTGTTTACTAATGCAGTGTTAACATTGCTGAAACTTTGATTGTTTAAAACAGAGTAGGTAAGAAAGAGTGCAGAATTCATATGACAGGTTACCTACCATGTGAGACAATGTACTTTTGTAATTGGAATAAAGGACAAAAAAGATTACAATCAATGAACATCATTTACTTTATCTAGTGATATTTGATAATTATTCCCATCAATAAATATTCATCTTTAGTAGTGTGTTAATTCTCTAGAATTCATAATTTTCTAGTTT